TTTGTTGTTACATGTTTAAAAATTGGCTTTTTATTTTTGCCATTCTGGGTAGCTGGCTCTCACTTTTAAGAGGTGGGATAATTACCGTTCACCCGGCCATTATCTATAGAAGCTCCTGAGAGTAGCTTATATCTATGTTGGGACTGACTTTTCCCATTTTTAATGGGAGCAGTAATTTTTCTCTCCAAGCCCCGATGCTGGCGACGTACACTGCACGTCGTCAGTCACGAAGGGGCTAAGTTGCTTGCTTATCTGGTAGATGACTACTGAAGTTATGCTTCCTTAGTCACCTTCTCCCACAGCCTGGTAAATGGATTATTGGAGGTGATACCATGGATATACAGTATATGCTAGCTGCATAAAAAAAATATATATTTCTGTGCATACAGATGCTGTTGTAAACTGCGCAGGGATTACATTTATTAGGAAAACATTTTATGTTGGGCTTTAATGGTTGCGGATAGCGTTCAAGGCCTAAATCCGTTATTGATAGCTGGAATCCATGTTGAGATAAATCTGATTCTGCTATAAAGTGCTCTAAAAGAAATTTGTGCAGCACAGTTACCACCATGCTTCTAAACTGTGATTTTGTAGGGGAAATCCCATCATCTTGGACATCACGAGGATTTCCTGTCGGCTATGGTGATGATCTTGGAACAGCACAGAGCTGACCTAGCACTGGCCTGGCCTCTCTTCAGCAGAAGATTCATACAATTGTGATCCATTGCTTGATAATAGCAACGGTTAATGTTAGACTAACAAAAGGTGCTTGCTCAATTGACCTAATGAGCCCCCCCCTTTTTAATAAAAGTGTTTGGGAGGGGGTTGGTAACTGCTCAATAGGGGGGAAAAAATGATGCATCCAAATAGGATTTTTGACTTTCCTGAAAAATATTTTTTTGAGTACACAAAGGGACACAGGATTATTAATGCGAGGACATAGGGCTATGTTGCTGCATTCAAGAAATTGGATGCTGGCAAACAAAGCTATAAAGGCAGCCTATTACAACCCCTCCCACTCCCATCATGCTCCAAGTTTTTTTTGCTAGTATTCTAGGAGATATTCCCTCAGAAAGAAGCAAACTTTCTTACTTTTTTTTTTTTTGCTCTTTATCAAAATATTTTTTTCTTGTATCCAGCTCCTTTTTTAGTTGTAGAGCCAGCTCCTTTTTTAGACTTTTTAGTGCAGAATGTTGTATCCAGGGGCAACTGGATATCCAGGGGCAGCGAGCTAGAATTTTAAACTCCCCGCTTCAGATTATCAAACCTGCTAACTTCTCCGCAAAGAATAACAGACCTCAATGCTGCTCTGGTGCAGCTCCTCACACAAGGGGTCATAGCCAACATTCTGGAAAAAGAAAATTCGCAGGGTTTTTAAAGCCTGTTCACTGTTCCCAATGCAAAAGGGGGGATTTGCCCCATTCTGAATCTAAAGGTTCTCAATGTCTTACTTTTTAAGGTGTACAAAAATTCCACATAGAATCTTCTAGATCAGTCATTGCTTCTCTCCATTTAGGGACTTTTGGCCTTTGTGTACATCAGAGGTGCCTACTTGCATATCCTCCTCTTTCTGGCTCATCAACAATTGCTGTGTTTTGCCTTGAGCCCTCAAGTTGCCTTTGCTTTTGGTCTATACACTTAACCTCTGGTTTTCATTGCGGTACTAGCCCCTATACCTGAATGACCTCCTAGTGAGAGAACAGTCGGTACAGACTGTCAATTAATGTCCATTGAACTCTGCAGAGGATTGGGTGGTTCCTAAATCTCTAGAAGTCAGTGCAAGAACTGACGCATCGCATGGAGTACCTAGGACTTTTCCTGGATACTTCTCTGTCAGGGGACTTCCTTTCTTGGAAAAGCTCCAAACTCTCTGCTCCCATGTTGAGATGCTGCAGTTTAGAAGCCTAATCAATTCTTTTTTTTGCATGGGCGGTCCTGGGCTTAATATTGGCCTCTTTGGAAGCAGCAGTTCCATATGCCCAGTTTTACCCCAGACCATTACAACTCAACATTCTGGTGGCATAGGACCAAAAGGCTCAGTCTCAACCATCGCATTTGCCTGACTGCCTCCTAAACCAGGCTTGCTCTAGTCTCTGCTCACGAGTCCAGCCCAGGGAAATCCTTCCTCCTAGTGACTGAGATCAGTTCAACCTGATCTATGCCTTTTTACTTATTTCTAAAATTCCTTTCACTTAATCAGGTTCTCTTCTGCTGATTTACAGCAGGCAGTGGACAGGTGCGATAGCTAGACCTGAGCACGCTGTAGATCTAGCTGTGTGATACCACAATCAAGTGCCTAGCCTTACAGCGCTCATAAAAAAAGAGGCAACTAAACATATGAGCCGTCTTCAATTTCTTCTGATTTCTGTTTAAAAAGAAAGCGCCTGTTCTAGAAGCATTTGGCAAGATCTCAAGCAAAATTTGATTTCACGCTGTTATCGGTAAAAAGATTGCATTATATATATTTTATTTTTTTTGGTCAGACTAACTTCAAGTTTTCTTTCTCTACCACGGTAGGAAACCTTTGCAAGAGCGAAAAACTGGGTGAAAGAACTTCAGAGGCAGGCTAGCCCAAACATTGTAATTGCCTTGTCTGGGAACAAGGCTGACCTCTCCAACAAAAGAGCTGTAGATTTCCAGGTGAGTTTGCTAGGTCTCTGTCCTCCTTCCAATACAGCTAATACAGAGAGACTGCAGAATGTTTTCATACTTTTCTCTTGCCTGTTGCAGGAAGCTCAAGCCTATGCAGATGACAACAGCTTGCTCTTCATGGAGACCTCTGCTAAAACCGCTATGAATGTGAATGAAATATTTATGGCCATAGGTGAGTTTTTTTGTTTTTACTGGGGGCATCCAGCAGCTAAGTTTTGATATTTTTATTTTGCTCTACACCTAACTTCTCTATAGTTGAGCACATCATGTATGGGATGCCCTGTGTGGCAGCCCTCAAATTAAGTGGGTCAATACTGCAAAAAAATGTAATTGTGGGCTCTAGTAATTGTACACGCTCTCACCCACACTATACACGTGTCACGGCTGTTAGCTGGGATCTGCTAAAGGAGGTGGAACCAACAAAAAAGGCCTCATCTCTTTTAGCCATTTGCTGCTGTCTGTGTAGGTTGGAAAATAACGCGGGTAATCTGGGTGAATGCTAGGGCAGTAGCTCTCTGTATAAAGGTATTCCGGAGCACCTTTAAAGTATATATAAAAAACTTTTTTGGGGGGGGGATAAGGAAAAGATTAGACTGTCAGGTTTTTACTGCTGCCTGTGTCCCCCACCACAGAGATTCATTCTCTGTTTCCTTAACGAGGTCCACAAGGACAGATAAAGTTACCAAGAGGCGACTTCCCCTCACCTCTTGTCTCGTATAAGAGGAGAATTCCCCTCACTTTGAGGAATCGATCTATCGTTTCCTGTTGCTACCCCAATAAGTAAAGGAAAATCTCGGGTCACAGATGGCACAAAATAACGTGACCAGGGTTTTAATCCTTCCCTACTATATCCAAAAGCTATACATAAACCTATTATACATTATTATTCAGGATTTATAAAGCGCCAACAGTTTGTGCAGCGCTTTACAATATAAGGAAGACATTACAATCGCAATACAATTCAAGACAAGATGGTAAGGAGGGCCCTGCCCGTGACATCTTACAATCTATGAGGTTGTTCAATTGTCCCTTTAAAAGGTGTACAGCTGCCACTACTTGGAGCAACAGCACAATCACTCCTTACATGAGGTATTTATATATAGAGTGAGATATCTATATGCTAGAAGTGATGCAAATTATACGATTGTTGCCTGTACCATAAATCACAATCATATTTTTTTTTTTGCTTCTCTAGCTAAGAAGCTGCCGAAGAATGAGCCCCAAAGTACACAAGGAGCCCCTGGAAGGAACAGGGGGGTGGACCTCCAGGAAAACACCCCTCCGGCTCGGAGCCAGTGCTGCAGTAACTGAGTTCCCTCCTTCTCGCTTGTTGCCTATTGGTGGGGAGAAAGGAGCAAAAACACAGAAATATCCCAAATTACAATACCATTTAAAAGCTTCAGATCAAGAAATATACCAACATGAAAATCTATCTGAGATGAGACTGGAAATCCACGCTAATTATACTTGCTCCTCACAGAACCAGAATGAACTCTGGCTCTGGAGGGGCTAAGATAGACGCTGTGAGCCTTTATTGTACCATCTACTTCACCACTCCAGTTTCTAAATGATCAGCGTCCTGATGGATATCTCATTCCACCTGCACTTTTTTCCTTGTATAAATACTAATTCAATTTTTAAGTCTTAAGTCACTTTTAATATATGTATTATAAATATATAAATATGAACTATGATCTGATTAACTTCCCACATCCTTGCCCTCTTGTTCCTGCTCCATTTTAGTAGCTTTGGTGGTGGGTACAGAAGGGTAGAGGTGCTTCAGTTTTTGAGTTCTCAGAAAGATTCGGTGAACTTGATGAACCTGATCATCATAAGCTCTTTCTTAAAGGGTGCCTGTGAGGTTAGAAACAAGGGAGCTGCCATGTGGTTGTTTTTTTTAGAAAAAACTTAAGCTCCAGTGTTGTTACCCTGACCCTGTTTACGCTACCTTGTGACTTTAAAACCTGCAACAAGCATGTGACCTGCAAGTCTGAATAGTTTGAACTCCAGTCCTGCAAATCTTGCATACTTGTTCCGGATCAGTGTCTAGCTAAGCTAGGTAGTTAAATCGGGATAAGGGAGGACAGCACTAGAGCCTACACCTTTACACAGCAAGCAGCAGCTCCCATATTTTTGTCCTCAAAGGTTTCCTTTTAAACGGTATAATGTGAGGACAGAACTCTGTGTACATTGACATGCATATATGTATGGAGTGTATATGAATATATATATTTTTTTCATATGTTTAATCCCCTTAATACAGAATGCCTTGCTAAGTTAAACTTTAATCAAAATGCCTTTTCTGGAAGAAAAAAAAATGGGATAAATCAAAATGGCACCTTGGACCTAAAATGGCTTACCAGGAAGTCGAACAGTCTTTTTTTATTTTTGAAAGACCTACTTTGCTCATTGACTTTTTTTTTTTCTTTTTTTTTTCCTTTTTTTTTTCTAATGTAATCATGTTGTTCTATATTCCTCAGAAGTATTTTCAGTTATAAGAGTTCTAGAACCATTTAAAGGCTGTCAGAAGGCCATAAAGCACTTTCAGGAAAGAAAAGTTAAAGAAAATCTCAATGGTTTTGGTGGTCTGTGCACAGGCATTTTCTGGCATTTAATCTGTTTGCTGGATCAAACTGTCAATGTTTTGCCATCATGTTATGCTTAAGAAATGACAGAATCACCTTTTTTATTTGACAGCCACCAAGTAGGTTTGACATATTTGTGAAACTGCAATGCACATAGCAACCAGTATGATGGCCACTTCCATCTTCTTGCATCTAGTATAGGAATGGCAGGGGGAATCTGATTTGGTTGTTTTGGCAAACCCATTTTTTTCATGTATACTATATCATCCCCATAGCCTACTGATTAAGGCCATTTCTCCAGTCACGTGCTCTATTGCTTCCATAAACCTGAAGAAACAAATCGTGTATTACGGAGGTTTCGCTGTCTTGGGCTGCACACACCATAGGTGTGGGATGCGAAAGCAGCTAGATGAGAGAAGTTTCTTTTGGAGTATAGCAGTCGCTTCTGATGTTGTATAACTGCTGTTCTTATTTGTGAGTAGACGCTGATCTCCACCAGTAACAGTAAAGTAGGGTCAGTACAAATTCCATCTTTAACATTTCTGTAACTTCATTATTTGGGAGCTGTAAAGCTGATTTTTATAAGGTGTCTTTCTGTCTCCAAACCCAGTCACATGACCAAATATCAATTGTGAGTATTAAGGGGAAGGGAACCTTCTTTTTTTTTTTTTTTCTTCATATTTTGTATTGTATGTTCTCTGCAATATGTACTTAATCAGTATATCTTGATAATACAGTATGTACCCAAATAGAAACCCGGTTTCTTTCATTTTCTGTGTAAAAGAATAAGACTTTTCAGAGTGCATGGCAGCAATGACACCAGATTGTGGTGTTTTTTGCATATTCTAAGCTTTTTCAAGGACATGTTATAACCCCCAACTGGTGACACTGGAGGTTGGTGTAGAGTTTTTACAATGCAAAGCACATCTCTGGGCAAACTGGGGAAAAAACTACCCTTCCAGTGGCGCTACCCCCACAGTGCAAAGGGTAACTGCTCGTTTTATGTTTGGTGAGCTGCCATAAAGCACTTTTACTTACCTGATCCTTGCTCTACCAGCAGTCAGCACTGTCCCTCTTCTCCCCCTGAATTGTGGCTGGTGGGATGTCCCTCGGCGTCCTCACGTCTAATGCAGGGTTATGGAACCTGCGTTAGATGTGATGACATCAGCAGTCTTTAGACTGCAGGAGCGGAGAAGAGGAAAGGCTGTGGGGGACCGGTGTAGCTGCCTGGCAGGATCAGGGGTCAGATGAGTAAAAGTGCTTTACTGCAGTAGCTCGGCATTTAACCCTTGCAGTGCACTGGGGTTTTTTTGGGGGTGGGTTGCGGCCTTCAATGTACAGAGTAAATGACTGCTACCGCACCTCTTCAACTGATGCATTTGAGTCTTACACATGTGGAGCATGTCAAGCTATGGCTTTGTTTGTTTCAAAAGTATCACAGTAGGGATTGTTGATGACATATCCAAACCTAGACATGGAGCTGCGAAATGTAGGGCCAAAACGAGCTTGGAGAACAGGTGAAATGTGTTTTTTATTTACATAGCCAACCTTTTAGTGAATGTCTGGCATTTATCTTGAAGTTATTTCTACATATACTGGCATTGTCATGGTCTTGGTAAACATGTTAAAGGAAAGCCAAACCTTTTTTTAATAGAGTGCGGAAAGATGAGAGAACACCCCTCAAGTACGCTCGCCATACACTGGTATATTTTTATATAAAGGTTCACATGAAAGCACTCATCTGAACATTGGAAGAAGCCGTCAGACTTGACAAATGTCATTCAAAGTTTAGTTTTACAATGTTTGGAATTGAATGACGTTTCTTTGAAAAACAAAACACAGAGAATGGCCACGGGGGCGGGATGGCTCTTGGCTGTTGCACTGATTGTCTTCAGGGGCAGCTGCAGACACCAGCCAGAGCCTCCCGCTCGGCAACTGGTGACGTCTGAGAGCTGGGAACACAGGTTAGGGCAGTGTTTCTTGGTGTTTTAGAGTATGTACCTCATAATACCAGTGTTTACCAAGCCCCCTCTAGAAACTAATACCTGTACCCCTCTAGGTTAGTGTTAGGACCTCTTCATACCTATGCACATGTATAGGTGTAAATATGCACATATCATTTTCCTTTTGAAAACACACTAAAGTGCAGCGTATAGATGCCACAGCCACATAAAGAATGGAATTCTCCAAATTCTTTGCTGCAGGAAAGCTGAAGTATGAATCGAGATTCACACTTGTGTGGTGCATTCATGATCATTATGTCTCTTGTTAAGGCAGATTGCATTAAGGCAGCCTATTCATTTTAAATGTGCTGCAAGTACACTTGGGACACAAGCAACCGCACCTGGTCCTTTTTGGGAACACAGCGCACGATTGTGCACTGCCTTGGTTTGTTGGGGTGCCATTAAAAGACAACTATAGGGTAACCTTTTTATCTCCTAGTTCTCTTTAGGGTCACGGGAGGACATATACTAACATCCTCCCGTGACCCAAAACTCAGTATATAGCGGGCTTTTGCCCACTATATACTGAGCGCTGCAGCCGGGACGGATTCAATGTCACACATTGGCTCTAACTATGGGGATGAGTCTAAATTACTCTAGTAATAGTTCTCCTTTTAATGGCACCCAAAGATTACTCATTGCGACAAGTTAGAGTGTACACCAATGCTTGAATGCAAAGGTCTGGTCCTGGCCTCAATGCTTTCCAAACGATGTTGGGTTTTTAAAAGCGTAGGCCACGTTTTACAAAAGAATAAATGCGCACTAATGGAAAGTGCCATAATTCTATGCAATGGACCCTGCAAAGACTGCAACTGCAGTGGATCATGGGTGCAATACAGAGGCTCTTGCAGACTCGTCCTCTCAGTCACTGTCGATACCAAGGTGCAGAGATGGGAGGAAGTATCGATAGACTCCATGAGAACTAAACTAAGAGTCCCACAGTGGCAGGTAGGACTTGAAGTCTCTCCATTCACAGACCCTGTGAAAGTGGCAGAGCCTCGTACAGCCATGCAAAATCAAAAGATTCATGGATTCGGCGAGGAGAACAACTCTTGAGATTCAGGTAAGGGGGGGGGCATATGGGATGCATCCTGAATACGGGAGTTCCATGAAACATGGTCAGAGAGATGTTAATTATACTTGGTTTTCTATGTGATTTTATTTCTGTTTGATTTTTGTCCACTGCCTGAGAAACATTTGGATTATAGTTCCTGTATATTGTGACAATATGACCTGTTTGGGTGCACTTACTTGAGGATGTGAGAAATAATGTTAATCTGTAGCTCTCTCTAGTTCTTTCTGTATTTACCTGAGGAACACACATGTCCCTTATCTTGCCACAGTTCAGACAAAAGAAGAGAGGTTTTAAGCAAGAGTAGAAAAGAAGGCACTTGGATACTGTGGCGCAGATATTCATTGTAATTGGAATTTCCACAGCTAGTGCGGAGTCTCCAGCTAAATGCCTCCCTTTTTTTTATTGGTGACATGTAATTGCAGCAGAATTAATTTCACTGTGCCCACCTCTGGAACATTTATTGCACAAATCTACACTCTTTTAACTTGCTGGAATAAGTTGCAGGTGCTGCTAATAAACTATTCACAATAGACCATTTCCATTTATTCCTCTTTCTACAAAGCTGAAATGGAGAAGGCATGGAGCTAAAAAAAAATCATCATAGTTAAACCAGCAAATGGTGACCTGGCTTTGTTGAATCCAATAATACCCTTGGAGTGTCATATATCGATGAACTTTTTGAAGGTGCAAGCTCCAG